GAACCTGGCGTGATGATGACCTCGTTGTCAATTAGATCTTGAACTTCATGGCGAAGACGATAACAACCATCAGTGTCATGACCGGTTTGTTGATGGAAGGCACATTATTTAGCTGGGTCATATCTTAGTAGAAGAAGATTTGGAAGGGGTCGAGGTTCTAGGAGTTCTAGGTACCCTTTTTCTCGCAGCATTTTCAAAGCTTTAGAGAGACTCATGTAAAGAGGATGGAAATTACGGGCTTGGGGTTGAGTTGAAGTGGTTGGTTTTTGGCCATTGAGGGGAGTGGTGACCGTGTTTACTTTTGAGCATTTCGCAGTTGTGCTACCATTAGTAGTAGCATTGAAACCGCGAACAACATTCTTCTTCAATGGCTCATTATCTTCCACAAAGATCCCTTGTCTGACGGCATCCTCGATTTGAACCTCCATTTCATGAAAGCCCTGGAAAGGTTCCATAACACCTCTGCTCCACTTTACCAACACACTGTGCAAATTTCATTGGTGGCCGACAGGGGGCTAGTTGGCTACCATTGGTGGCCGGTCGGCTATTGGTGGTGCCCGGTCGACCACTGGTGGCCTGAACTTCCTTGTTGCAATAGAGAGCAAAACAGTGTATTTCTCAAGGGTTGCTTGCACACTTTGCCTCTCCTTTTCATGGGGAAATTAAAGGAGGGACAAAATTTGGTTCACAAACCATCAATCAAGCAATTTCATTGCATCTTGGCTTGTGAAACCAATTGTGCAAGTTCAATAAATACAAAATGAGACCAAAAAGACCATACCCTATGATGTATGATCAAGGGCAATGGAAATTTAGGAAAATGGCACATTTCATCACCTTTGAGTATGAAATGTCCCATTTACCTTGTGTTCAAATTAACGTTTGATTTGAGCACATGCAATGCAACACAAAGAATGCTTATCTTGCCACTTTTTACATGCCAATTTTGTTTACTCATTTTAATTACCAAATCATTCCTTAATCCATTAAGTCCATTGGTGAGTGTCCTCTAATGGAAAGAGGGCCCAAACCACAAGTTGCTTTGGGCATGAAAGAGACATTACATTGTTAGTAATGAACACCCTAAGGGATTAAACCATTGGGTGTAGCATCTCTATTTCACACTTGGGCAAACAAGTGGTTTGAAACCACTTTCAGAGAAAAACAAAATAGTGAAGAATTGAGGGAGATTGCAGAGATTGTAGTATTGAAATTAGGTGAGAAAAAGCACTAAAACATGTAATCAACTCAATCCAATGATGGTTAAAGCCTAAAAACACCAAGCTAGTGATGGAACTTACACTACAACTATGCAAAACAAGACTCAAAAGGGACCAAACAGCCAAAACAGTGGCAAAATAGTTCAAAACAGAGCTTAAGACATGTTGAACTTGAGCCACAAAAAGCTAAAACATTAAGCTAATACATGGAGCTAACTAGGCATGCACACATGACACAAGGAGGGGAGGCTAACTCTTCCAATTTTGGACTTCAAAATGAGTTTTTTACTACTGAAAAACCTCAGAAATTTAGTGGTTAAAAGGCCTAAAAAAGTTGGTTTGAAAGTGATGAATAAAGGCACAAAAGCTTTAAGAACTAAGATGCAAGAAGGGTGGACTACCCCTTAACTAAAAAACAGCCTCAAACCAACACTTTTAAGCCATAAAAATAGAACTTTTTTTAGTTCAAAATCAACCTCAAAACAATTGAAAATGATGGCAAAACAAGTATACAAAACAAGTATAAACAAGGCAAGTGTTATACCTTTGAAGCAAAGCACACTTGGCCAACAATCCAAGCCAAAAACCACCTTCTAGAGCTCAAAGAAGGTCCCAAGTTACCTCAGCCCAAAGACTAGCAACTTTGGTTAAGGTGGTGTACGTAATAGTGTAGAGAAAACAAGCTACAAAGCACAAAATTGTAAGAGAGAGAGAGAGAGAGAGAGAGAGAGAGAGAGAGAGAGATAATTTTGGTCCAAATTTTCTAACCCTCCAAAATAAGGGAGGAACCCCCTTATATATAGAAAAACATGCCTTGAGCTTAGAAACATCCTACCATACATGTATAGGGAGATGCAGCTCAGTGTGCTAACCGCTGTCACAACTGTCAACAAATATCTAAAAAAAGACACTGCCCTCAC